GCAAGGTTGTTTTGGGGGTAGTTTTTACCACCAGAATGTATTGAATATTTCTACAAAAATACTAATGATTCGATTTTTTTGCCGGGGTGGGTGGAGGGGGCTAGTAACTGCTAGGATAAAACTTATTTTGGCAAATGAAGTACCCTCTAAGAAAAGAGAAGACGAGTGGGCGGGGCTAGAGAGCGTTTTGAGATTCTAGCGATTCGAGAAATGTAGATTCTAGATTCTAAAGATTCAGAAGTTTTCGAATATTTCGAAGATTGAAGGTCCCAAAATTCTAAAGATCACAAACATTTCTAAGGATTCAAAGATTCCGATGATTTCAGAGATTCTAGAAATTCCCAAGATTTCGGATAATAGGACCCTAGAGAATTCAAAGAGTCTAAAGATTCTGAGTATTTTGAAGACCGAAAATCCCAACAATTCTGAAGAATTTGAAGATTCCCAGGATTATGAATATTCTAAACATTCCAGAGAATCCACAAATTCCAAAAATTCCGAAGCTAGACACTTCAGAAACTCTAAATCTTCTGAAAATTTTGAATAATCTATAGATTTTAGACTTTCTAACGAATCTAGATTCTAAATAATTCAGATTCTAGAGACTATAGAGCGTATTGCGATTCTATCCATTCGAGAAATGTTAGAATCGCTAGAAACTTCAGAAACTCTAAATATTCTGAAAATTTTTAATAATCTTGATATTCTACAGATTTTAGACTTTCTGACGAATCTAGATTCTATGTAATTTAGATTCTAAAGACTATACTCGTAGATTCTAGCCAGTCGAGAAATCTTAGATCTTAGAGATTCTACAGATTCTGAAGTTTTCGAATATTTCAAAGATTGAAGATCCAAGATAAGACTGATTTTGGCAAATGGTATACTCTATAAAGAGAAGAGAGGACCGGTGGGCGGGGCTAGTACCTAGTAACATAAGAATGATGTGATCTAATGAGATACTTTCTAAGAAACGAGAGGGTGGGTGGGCGGGGCTAGTAACTGCTAGGATAAGACTGATTTTGGCAAATGAAGTACCCTCTAAAAAAAAAGAAGGCGAGTGAGCGGGGCTAGAGTGCGTTTTGAGATTCTAGCGATTCGAGAAATGTTAGATTCTAGATTCTAAAGATTCAGAAGTTTTCGAATATTTCGAAAATTGAAGGTCCCAAAATTCTAAAGATCACAAACATTTCTAGGGATTCAAAGATTCCGATGATTTCAGAGATTCTAGAAATTCCCAAGATTTCGGATAATAGGACACTAGAGAATTCAAAGAGTCTAAAGATTCTGAGTATTTTGAAGACCGAAAATCACAACAATTCTGAAGAATTTGAAGATTCCCAGGATTATGAATATTGTAAAGATTCCAGAGATTCCACAAATTCCAAAAATTCCGAGACTAGAAACTTCAGAAACTCTAAATCTTCTGAAAGTTTTGAATAATCTATAGATTTTAGACTTTCTAACGAATCTAGATTCTAAATAATTCAGATTCTAGAGACTATAGAGCGTATTGCGATTCTAGCCATTCGAGAAATGTTAGAATCGCTAGAAACTTCAGAAACTCTAAATATTCTGAAAATTTTTAATAATCTTGATATTCTACAGATTTTAGACTTTCTGACGAATCTAGATTCTATGTAATTTAGATTCTAAAGACTATACTCGTAGATTCTAGCCATTCGACTAATCTTAGATCTTAGAGATTCTACAGATTCTGAAGTTTTCGAATATTTCAAAGATTGAAGATCCAAGATAAGACTGATTTTGGCAAATGGGATACTCTATAAAGAGAAGAGAGGACCGGTGGGTGGGGCTAGTACCTAGTAAGATAAGAATGATGTGATCTAATGAGATACTTTCTAGGAAACGAGAGGGTGGGTGGGCGGGGCTAGTAACGGCTAGGATAAGACTGATTTTGGCAAATGAAGTACCCTCTAAGAAAAGAGAAGACGAGTGGGCGGGGCTAGAGAGCGTTTTGAGATTCTAGCGATTCGAGAAATGTAGATTCTAGATTCTAAAGATTCAGAAGTTTTCGAATATTTCGAAAATTGAAGGTCCTAAAATTCTAAAGATCACAAACATTTCTAGGGATTCAAAGATTCCGATGATTTCAGAGATTCTAGAAATTCCCAAGATTTCGGATAATAGGACCCTAAAGAATTCAAAGAGTCTAAAGATTCTGAGTATTTTGAAGACCGAAAATCACAACAATTCTGAAGAATTTGAAGATTCCCAGGATTATGAATATTCTAAAGATTCCAGAGATTCCACAAATTCCAAAAATTCCGAGGCTAGAAACTTCAGAAACTCTAAATCTTCTGAAAATTTTGAATAATCTATAGATTTTAGACTTTCTAACGAATCTAGATTCTAAATAATTCAGATTCTAGAGACTATAGAGCGTATTGCGATTCTAGCCATTCGAGAAATGTTAGAATCGCTAGAAACTTCAGAAACTCTAAATATTCTGAAAATTTTTAATAATCTTGATATTCTACAGATTTTAGACTTTCTGACGAATCTAGATTCTATGTAATTTAGATTCTAAAGACTATACTCGTAGATTCTAGCCATTCGAGAAATCTTAGATCTTAGAGATTCTACAGATTCTGAAGTTTTCGAATATTTCAAAGATTGAAGATCCAAGATAAGACTGATTTTGGCAAATGGGATACTCTATAAAGAGAAGAGAGGACCGGTGGGCGGGGCTAGTACCTAGTAACATAAGAATGATGTGATCTAATGAGATACTTTCTAAGAAACGAGAGGGTGGGTGGGCGGGGCTAGTAACTGCTAGGATAAGACTGATTTTGGCAAATGAAGTACCCTCTAAGAAAAGAGAAGACGAGTGGGCGGGGCTAGAGAGCGTTTTGAGATTCTAGCGATTCGAGAAATGTAGATTCTAGATTCTAAAGATTCAGAAATTTTCAAATATTTCGAAGATTGAAGGTCCCAAAATTCTAAGGATCACAAATATTTCTAGGGATTCAAAGATTCCGATGATTTCAGAGATTCTAGAAATTCCCAAAATTTCGGATAATAGGAGCCTAGAGAATCCAAAGAGTCTAAAGATTCTGAGTATTTTGAAAACCGAAAATCCCAACAATTCTGAAGAATTTGAAGATTCCCAGGATTATGAATATTCTAAAGATTCCAGAGAATCCACAAATTCCGAAGCTAGAAACTTCAGAAACTCAAAATCTTCTGAAAATTTTGAATAATCTATAGATTTTAGACTTTCTAACGAATCTAGATTCTAAGTAATTTAGGTTCTAAAGACTATAGATTCTAGCCATCCGAAAAAGATTCTAGAGATTCTACAGATTCTGAAGTTTTCGTATATTTCAAAGATTGAAGGTCTAAAATAAGACTGATTTTGGCAAATGACATATCCTCCAAAAAAAGAGAGGGTGGGTGGGCGGGGCTAGTAGCTGATAAGATAAGACTGATTTGATCTAATGAGATACCTTCTAAGAAAAGAGAGGGTGGGTGGGCGGGGCTAGTACCTGCTAGGATAAGGCTGATTTTGGCAAATGAGATCTCTCTTAGAAAATAGAGGGGGGGGGGTTGGCTCGCATCTGCTAAAATCAGTTTTATCTTAACAGGTACTATATTTGTGCATTTTTTCTTAATATACGAAGCCTTCTTTTCTCAACAAGAAGCTGAAAACAAGTGTAACTATTCTGTTGTTGAAAGAAATCTACGTATATAAAGAAAAAAACAACAAAGATTAAGCCCCACCCACCCGCCCCGATCTCGATTATGATGAATTTTTCATTCGTTGGTAGACCAAGGGGCGGAGCTTAATTGCAAAGGACTAAAATTATTAATTAAACCACAATCGAACAAAATGTTATGAACATTATAATTCTTATTTTATCATTGTTATATATAAACTTAGTCAACATGGATAATACTGAAGAAATGAAAAACTAAAAAATCTAAAAATTGAAAATTAAAAACTGAAAACTCGTGAAATTTCAAATCAAAAAACTGCAAAATCTAAAAATTTACAGGTCCAAATTTTGGAAAATCGAAAAACTGAAAAATTTAAAAATGAAAACTTCAGAGATATCGTAAAATTAAAAAAAAACAAAAACTGAAAAATTGCAAATTGAAGAAACAAGCAATTATACAATCGGAATATTGTAAAATTATAAAAATAAAGAAAATAAAAAATTGAAACGAAAAATTGCAAATGGAAAAATTAAAAATTGAAAAATCGAGAAACTAATCGAAAAATTGCAAAATCTAGAAATTGAAGGGAAAAGTTAAAAAATGAAAAATTTAAACTTGAAATCTCTAAAAAATGAAGGAACAAAAAAAAGAAAAAAATTCAAGTCAAATTTTTCAGAGAAGTGGGATTTATTTGGCTGCACTCCAGGGACGAGGGAAGTTCTGTTGAAGTAACATTCGACTAATTTGTTACTTTTTTGTTGTTTCGATTTCTCAGTATTTCGATTTTTTGCCTTCTCATTTTTAGATTTTTCGGAATTAATTTTTCAGTTTTTCGATGTGCGATTTTTCAATTTTGCGATTTATCGGGTTGTTTAGGTATAACTCTTTCAATTTTGAATTTTCTCATTTTTCAAACTAGATCTTTTGCTGTTTCGATTTCGGGTTTATTCGATTTCGATTTCTCAGTTTTTCGATTATTCGTCTATTCGATTTTATTTATTTATTTTTTTCGTCTAAAGGGAAAGCACTTCAGCTTACCTAGTCACCGTACGTTAGTAAACACTTGGTAACAAACGGTTTAAATTCAACATCATTATCGGCAAAACAAAAAAGTCAAGTTAAAAAAAAGTTAACAATCGCCCTGTAGTACATTATGTAAACAATTTTTGAGGAAATTGAAATCAAAAGGAAATCATAGGAAATCAAGAGGAAATCACAGGAAATCATAGGAATTCAAGAGGAAATCAATTGTACACTTGATGGTCGGCGGTTTACCCCTCGGATTAAATAGTCATTAAGATTTTAGACTCAGGTCTTACCTGTGTAACAAGGCTTAGACACCACTTTGAAATTGCTAATGGTAATGATTTCGAATTTCTGCAACAACAAAAGTCACGTTATATAAACGTATTAAAATTTTCTACCTTGTATCATAGTTTTTTATACTACCTACATTAAAGACGTCATAAGCATCATAGTCTTCGGAAAACGAATATATAAATCTTTTTTCACGTTTTGAGTTAGATAATCGATTGTTTGAACCATCTCTGCTTTTTTTCTTCGGTTGTAAACACGACCTTCGTTTTGATTCAGGGTACTCTTGTTCTTGTAAGAACGATTTTATAAGAGTTTTAGTATTTAACACGTTGACATCATTCATGAATTTTACAGATTTGTCAGTAACAGAGACTGAACAAAGAGAGTCTGATTTCGCTTCTAACAACAAAGAAGCAGTTCCGCCTGGTATTATTTGCTTATGTGACCAATTTGCTTTTACCTAAAACATGAAATACGTAGTAAAAATAAAGCGTAATAAGTATGTTTATTATTACATCGTTTAGAAGACATGGATCCACATCAATTTCCCTAGTTGCTGTAACAATTTCACCGTCAACACCAACATAGTAAAATAGAATTTGATAGTTTGAAAAAATTTTTTCGTCTAATCGAAATTTTAATATAAACTTATCGATCGAATTATCCAGTTTAGTGTGTTTGTGGTAAAAACCTATAAGAGTTTCGTATTCTTCGGTGTAATTCGGATAAGTTTTGTGCACAGTGTGTAAAATCTTTTTCATTTTGTGTATTCCTTGGCTTGTTTTAATCTGAAATTAAAAAGATGTGGTAAAAAATTGGAAAATCAAAAATTTAAATATTCCGCAAATTGAAAAATTGAAATATGGAAGAACTGAAAACTCGAGATCAAAGAAAAAACTAAAATCTTAAAAATTGAAAAGTTAAAATATCGAAAACTTGAAAAACTGAGAAGTCGAAGCATAAAACAGTTAAAAAATTGGAAAATCTAGTTTAAAAAACGGAGAATTGAAAATCCAAAAAGTAAAAAGTCGAGAAATCGAAAAATCCAGAACTCGAAAAGTCGAAATACTAAAAAATTCCAAAATTCAAATATCGAAAAATTGAAAAATAGAAAAATTGAAGAATCGAAAAACTAAAAAAACACAAAATTGAACGAAATATCCAAAAATTAGGAAATTAAAAAACTGAAAAATCGAAAAATTGAACAACCGAAGAAGTGAAAGATGGAAACTTTGGGAAGTGGAGAAATGGGAAAATAAAAAATAGATTAATTGAGAAATCCGTAAACTGAAAATTCAGAAATGTCAAAATTTGAAAAATTAAAAAATATTGAAAAACTGAAAAATTGAAAAGTCTAAAATTAAAACATTGAAAAATTAAAATATCGTCAAATTTAAAAATGGAGAAATCCAAACAACAAAATATCAAAAAAATTAAAATTCGAAAATCTAAAATTTAAAATTCAAAAACTGAAAAATCAACGAATCTAGAAATCGAAACTCAAAAATTTTAAAAATTGGAAAATTCAAAAATCGGATAATTCAAAAATCGAAACATGGAAAAGTCGAAAAACCGAAAAGTAAAAAATCTAAAAATCGATACATAGTAAAATTCAAAAACTGAGACATCAAAAAATCGAAAAATCAAAAGATCGAAAAATCGAGGAATCGAAAGTCGAGAAGTCGAAAAATTGATAAATTGAGAAACCGAAAATTTAAAAATTCGGAAAATTTAAAAATAGAGCTGAAAACTCGAGAAATCGAAAAATCTAGAAACTTAAAAATTGAAAAATGAAAATATGGAAAAGTTGAAAAATTGAGAAATTGAAATATAAAACAATCGAAAAATTGAAAAATTTAAAGTTTAATAAACGAAAAACTGAAAATCCAAAAATGAAAAATCGAAAAATCCAGAATTCGAAAAATCGAAACGTTGAAGAATCGAAATTTTGAAAAATCTCCAAACTGAAAGAAATGTCCAAAAATTGAGGAATTAAAAAATTGGAAAATTGAGAAATCGAAAAACTGCAAATTTAGCAACGTCAAAATTTGAAAAACTGAAAAATTTAAAACATTGAACAATTAAAATATAAACAAAATTGAAGAATCCAAACATAAAAAAAGCAAAAAATAAAAATTCGAAAATTTAAAAATCGAGAAACTGAAAAATCGGATAACTAAAAGATCGAAACATTGAAAAATTGGAAAATCGAAGAATTAAAAAAAAAATTGGAAAATCGAAAATTTAAATATTCCGCAAATTGAAAAATTGAAATATAGAAGAACTGAAAACTCGAGATCGAAAAAACTAAAATTTTAAAAATTGAAAAGTTAAAATATCGAAAAATTGAGAAATCGAAGCATAAAACATTAAAAAAAATTAAAATTCCAAAGTTTAAAAACGGAAAATTGAAAATCCAAAAAGTGAAAATTCGAAAAATCGAAAAATTCAGAACTCGAAAAGTCGAAATACAAAAAAAAATCCAAAACTCAAATATCGAAAAATTGAAAAATAGAAGAAAAATTGAAGAATCGAAAAACTGAAAAATTACAAAATCGAAAGAAATATCCAGAAATTAAGGAATTAAAAAAATTGAGAAACCGAAAAGTCAAAAAAGCAAAATCGCAAACTTAAAAAATCGAAAAATTGAAAAATCAAAAACTTGAAAAATCGAAAAATTGAAGAACCGAAGAACTGAAAAATGGAAACTTTAGGAAGTGGAGAAATGGGAAAATAAAAAATAGATTAATTAAGAAATCCGAAAACTGAAAATTCAGAAATGTCAAAATTTGAAAAATTAAAAAATATTGAAGAAATGAAAAATTGAAAAATGTAATATTTAAAACATTGAAAAATTAAAATATGGTAAAATTGAAAAATGGAGATCTCTAAACATCAAAATAATAAAAATTCGAAAATCTAAAATTTAAAAATCGAAAAAGGGAAAAATCAACGAATCGAGAAATCGAAACTCGAAAATTAGAAAATTGGAAAATTGAAAAATCGGATAAATCAAAAATCAAAACATCGAAAAATCGAGAAACCGAAAAGTAAAAAATCGACAAATCGAAAAATTCAGAAACCGAAATAGGCCAAAATCCAAAAATCGAAAAGTTAAAAATGGAAAAATTGATAAATCGAGAGATTGAACAATCAAAACATCGAAACATCCGAACCTCGATAAATAATCGAGATCTTAAAAAATTGAAAAATCGAATATTTAAAAATTCGGAAAATTAAAATATAGAACTGGAAACTCAAGAAATCAAAAAATCTAGAAATTTAAAGTTAAAAAAACGAAAAACTGAAAATCAAAAATAAAAAATCGAAAAATCCAGAAGTCGAAAAATCGAAAAGTCGAAGAATCGAAATATTGAAAAATCTCATAACTGAAAGAAATATCCAAAAATTGAGGATTTAAAAAATTGAAAAATTTAGAAATCGAAAAACCAATAAAGCGAAGTCGAAAAATCGAAGAATTGGAGAACTGAAAAATCGAAACTTTGAGAAGTGGGAAAATCAAAAATAGATTGATTGAGAAATCGGAAAACTGAAAATTTGGCAACGTCATAATGTGAAAAACTGAAAAATTTAAAACATTGAACTATTAAAATATCGCAAAATTGAAGAATCTAGAAATACAAACATAAAGAAAGCAAAAAAGAAAAATTCGAAAATTTAAATATCGAAAAATTGAAAAATCAAATAACTAAAAAATCGAAACATTGAAAAATTGGAAAATCGAAAAATTAAAAAAAAAATTGGAAAACCGAAAATTTAAATATTCCGCAAATTGAAAAATTGAAAAGTTAAAACTTGAAAAACTGAGAAATCGAAACATAAAACAGTTAAAAAATTGAAAAATCTAACGTTTAAAAAACGGAAAATTGAAAATCCAAAAAGAAAAAACTCGAGAAATCGAAAAGTCCAGAACTCGAAAAGTCGAAATACAAAAAAATCCCAAAACTCAAATATCGAAAAATTGAAAAATAGAAGAAAAATTGAATCGAAAAATTAAAAAATCACAAAATCGAACGAAATATCCAAAAATTACGAAATTAAAAAATTGAGAAACCGAAAAGTCAAAAAAGCAAATTCGAAAAATTGCAAACTTAAAAAATCGAAAAACTGAAAAATCAAAAACTTGAAAAATCGAAAAATTGAAGAACCGAAGAACTGAAAGATGGAAACTTTAGGAAGTGGAGAAATGGGAAAATAAAAAATAGATTAATTGAGAAATCCGAAAACTGAAAACTCAGAAATGTCAAAATTTGAAAAATTAAAAAATATTGAAGAAATGAAAAATTGAAAAATCTAAAATTTAAAACATTGAAAAATTAAAATATCGTAAACCTGAAAAATGGGGAAATCCGAACATCAAAAAATCAAAAAATAAAAATTTGGAAAATTAAAATTTAAAAATCGAGAAATTGGACAATTGGTTAGCTGTAAAATCGAAATATCAAAAAATTGGAAACCGAAAATGGAAAAATTCCGAAAATTGAAAAATTGAAATATCGAAGGACTGAAAACTCGAGAAATCGAAAAACCTAAAATTTTAAAAATTGAAAAGTTAAAATATTGAAAAATTGAGAAATCGAAGCATAAAACAGTTAAAAAAATGAATAATCCAAAGTTTAAAAAACGGAAAAGTGAAAATTCAAACAGTGAAAATTCGAGAAATCGAAAAATTCAGAACTCGAAAAGTCGAAATACTAAAAAAATCCAAAACTCAAAATCGAAAAATTGTAAAATTAAAAACGCTAATACATAATTGAAAAATTGATAAATCGAGAAAATGAACAATCAAAACATCGAAACATTATAGATAAATCGAGAAATAAAAAAATTGAAAAATCGAAAAATTTTAAAGAAGAAAAAGTTGAAAATCGAAAATTTAAAAATTCGAAAAATTGTAAAATTGAAATATAGAAGAACTGAAAGGTGGAAACTTTTGGGAAGTGGAGAAATGGGAAAAAAATAGATTAATTGTGAAATCCGAAAATTGAAAATTCAGAAATATCAAAATTTGAAGAATTAAAAAATATTGAAGAACTGAAAAATTTTAAAATCTAAAATTTAAAAATCGAAAAACTAAAAAATCAACGAATCGAGAAATCGAAACTCGAAAATTTAAAAAATTCGAAAATTCAAAAATCGGATAATACAGAAATCAAAAAATCGATACATCGAAAAATTCAAAAACTGAGACATTGAAAAATTGAGGAGTCGAAAAGTCGGGAAGTCGAAAAATCGAAAAATTCAGAAACCGAAATAAGCCAAAATCGAAAAATCGAAAAGTTAAAAATGGAAAAATTGGTAAATCGAGAGATTAAACAATCAAAACATCGAAACATCGGAATCTCGACAAATCGAGAAGTCAAAAATTTGAAAAATCAAAAATTAAAAATTCGGAAAACTGAAAAGTAGAACTGGAACTCGAAAAATCGACAAACCTAAAATTTTAAATATTGAAAAATTAAAATATCGAAAAATTGAGAAATCGAAGCATAAAATAGTTGAAAAAATGAAAAATCCAAAGTTTAAAAAACGGAAAATGAAAATCCAAAAAGTGAAAATTCGAGAAATCGAAAAATTCAGAACTCGAAAAGTCGAAATACTAAAAAATTCCAAAACTCAAATATCGAAAAATTGAAAAATAGAAAAATTGAAGAATCGAAAAATTAAAAAATCACAAAATCGAACGAAATATCCAGAAATTAGGGAATTAAAAAAATTGAGAAACCGAAAAGTCAAAAAAGCAAAATCGAAAAATCGCAAACTTAAAAAATCGAAAAATTGAAAAATCAAAAAACTGAAAAATCGAAAAATTGAAGAACCGAAGAAGTGAAAGATGGAAACTTTGGGAAGTGGAGAAATGGGAAAATAAAAAATAGATTAATTGAGAAATCCGAAAACTGAAAATTCAGAAATATCAAAATTTGAAAAATTAAAAAATATTGAAGAATATGGTAAAATTGAAAAATGGAGAAATCCAAACATCAAAAAAATAAAAATTCGAAAATCTAAAAATTAAAAATCGAAAAACTGAAAAATCAACGAATCGAGAAATCGAAACTCGAAAATTGGAAAATTGAAAAATCGGATAAATCAAAAATCGACACATCGAAAAGTCGAGAAACCGAAAAGTAAAAAATCGACAAACTGATACATTGTAAAATTCAAAGATTGAGACATCGAGAAATCGAAAAATTCAGAAACCGAAATAGGCCTAAATCCAAAAATCGAAAAGTTAAAAATGGAAAAACTGATAAATCGAGAGATTGAACAATCAAAGCATCGAAACATCCGAATCTCGAATAAATAATCGAGATCTTCAAAAATTGAAAAATCGAAAATTTATATATTCGGAAAATTAAAATATAGAACTGGAAACTCGAGAAATCAAAAAATCTAGAAATTTAAAGTTTAAAAAACGAAAACCTGAATCAAAAATAAAAAATCGAAAAATCCAGAAGTCGGAAAATCGAAAAGTCGAAGAATCGAAATATTAAAAAATCTCATAACTGAAAGAAATATCCAAAAATTGAGAATTTAAAAAATTGAAAAATTCAGAAATCGAAAAACCAATAAAGCGAAGTCGAAAAATCGAAGAATTGGAGAATTGAAAAATTTAAACTTTGAGAAGTGGGAAAATCAAAAATAGATTGATTGAGAAATCGGAAAACTGAAAATTTGGCAACGTCATAATGTGAAAAACTGAAAAATTTAAAACATTGAACAATTAAAATATCGCAAACTTGAAGAACCTAGAAATCCAAACACAAAGAAAGCAAAAAATAAAAATTCGAAAATTTAAATATCGAAAAATTGAAAAATCGGATAACTAAAAAATCGAAACATTGAAAAATTGGAAAATCGAAAAATTAAAAAAAAAATTGGAAAATCGAAAATTTAGATATTCCGCAAATTGAAAAATTGAAAAGTTAGAACTTGAAAAACTGAGAAATCGAAACATAAAACAGTTAAAAAATTGAAAAACCTAAAGTTTAAAAAACGGAAAATTGAAAATCCAAAAAGAAAAAACTCGAGAAATCGAAAAGTCCAGAACTCGAAAAGTCGAAATACAAAAAAATCCCAAAACTCAAATATCGAAAAATTGAAAAATAGAAGAAAAATTGAATCGAAAAATTAAAAAATCACAAAATCGAACGAAATATCCAAAAATTACGAAATTAAAAAATTGAGAAACCGAAAAGTCAAAAAAGCAAATTCGAAAAATTGCAAACTTAAAAAATCGAAAAACTGAAAAATCAAAAACTTGAAAAATCGAAAAATTGAAGAACCGAAGAACTGAAAGATGGAAACTTTAGGAAGTGGAGAAATGGGAAAATAAAAAATAGATTAATTGAGAAATCCGAAAACTGAAAACTCAGAAATGTCAAAATTTGAAAATTTAAAAAAAATTGAAGAAATGAAAAATCGAGAAATCGAAAAATCTAAAATTAAAACATTGAAAAATTAAAATATCGTAAAATTGAAAAATGGGGAAATCCAAACATCAAAAAATCAAAAAAATAATAATTGGAAAATTAAAATTTAAAAATCGAGAAATTGGACAATCGGTTATTTGAAAAATCGAAACATCAAAAAATTGGAAAATCGAAAATTGAAAAATTCCGAAAATTGAAAAATTGAAATATAGAAGAACTGAAAACTCGAGAAATCGAAAAACCTAAAATTTTAAAAATTGAAAAGTTAAAATATCGAAAAATTGAGAAATCGAAGCATAGAACAGTTAAAAAAATGAAAAATCCAAAGTTTAAAAAAAAGAAAATTGAAAATCCAAAAAGTAAAAAGTCGAGAAATCGAAAAATCCAGAACTCGAACAGTCGAAATACTAAAAAATTCCAAAACTCAAATTTCGAAAAATTGAAAAGTAGAAGAAAAATTGAAGAATCGAAAAACTGAAAGATCACAAACTTAAAAATCGAAAAATTATAAAATTAAAAACCTTAATAATTGAAAAATTGATAAATCGAGAAATTGAACAATCAAAACATCGAAACATCTGAATTCGATAAATTGAGAAATAATCAAAAAATTGAAAAATCAAAAAATTTTAAAAAAGAAAAACCGGAAAATCGAAAATTTAAAAATTCGAAAAATTGTAAAATTGAAATATAAGAGCACTGAAAGATGGAAACTTTGGGGAGTGGAGAAATGGGAAAATAAAAAAATAGATTAATTGAGAAATCCGAAAACTGAAAATTCAGAAATGTCAAAATTTGAAAAATTAAAAAATATTGAAGAACTGAAAAATTGAAAAATCTAAAATTTAATACATTGAAAAATTAAATTATCGTAAAATTGAAAAATGGAGAAATCCAAACATCAAAAAATTTAAAAATCGAAACTCGAAAATTTAAAAAATTGGAAAATTCAAAAATCGGTAATACAAAAATCGAAAAGTCGATACATCGGAAATTTCAAAAACTAAGACATCGAAAAATCGAGGAGTCGAAAAATTGAAAAATTCAGAAACCGAAATAGGCCAGAATCGAAAAATCTAAGAGTTCAAAGTGGAAAAATTGATAAATCGAGAGACTGAACAATCAAAACATCGAAACATCCGAATTTCGACAATCGAGAAGTCAAAAAATTGAAAAATCGAAAAATTAAAAATTCGAAAAATTAAAATATGAAAAAGTTGAAAATTTGAGAAATTGAAATATAAATCCATCGAAAAATTGAAAAATCGAAAAGTCGAAGAATCGAAATATTGAAAAATCTCATAAAATTGGGGAATTAAAAAAGTGGAAAATTCAGAAATCCAAAAACCAATGAAACGAAGTCGAAAAATCGAAGAATTGGAGAATTGAAAAATTGAAACTTTGAGAAGTGGGAAAATCAAAAATAGATCGATTGAGAAATCGGAAAACTGAAAATTTAGCAACGTCAAAATTTGAAAAATTTAAACATTTAAAACAATGAACAATTAAAATATCGCGAAATTGAAGAATCTAGAAATCCAAATATAAAAAAAGCAAAAAATAAAAATTCAAAAATTTAAAATTTAAAAATCGAAAAACTGAAAAATCGACAAATCGAGAACTCGAAACTCCAGAATTTAAAAAATCGAAAAATTGAAAAATTGGAAAATCGAGAAATTGCAAAGCCCAAAAGTTAAAAATCGAAAAACCGAGAAATCCAAAAACCGAAACATCGAAAAATTCAAAAACTGATACATCGAGAAATCGAAAATTTAGAGGATCGAAAAATCAAGTCGGAAGCTGAAAAGAAAAATTAAAACTTGAAAAATTGATAATTCGGGAAGTTGAACAATCAAAACCACGAAACATCTGAATAAAAAAATAAAAAATCGAAAAATTTTAAAAAAGAAAAACTGGAAAATCGAAATATAGAAGAACTGAAAACTCGAGATGTCGAAAAAACTAGAATTTTAAAATAGAAATATTAAAACATCGAAAAGTTGAAAAATTGAGAAATCGAAGAATAAAACAGTCGAAAAATTGAAAAATCTAAAGATTAACGAAAAATTGAAAATCCAAAAAGTAAAAAATCGAGAAATCAAAAAAATTCAGCAATCTAAAAATCGAAAAGTCGGAAAATCGAAATATTGGTAAGTCTTATAATTGAAAGAAATATCCAAAAAACTGAAAAATTTGAGAAATCGAAAAACTTAAAAAAATCGAGAAATCAAAAATTTGAAGAATGGAAAAATTGAAAAATTAACTATGGCTTACTTACCATATAATAAAATGTAAGGTTCTCGTTTTCTTTAAACTTGTTTGTCGTGTATTCCACATAAAATTGCTGCACAGATCTACACTTCGAAATTTCCAGAGGTCGAACAGATTCCAACTTAATGTATGTTCCACTGGGTGAGTACATCCTGACAACTAATAAATTATCGGCGACGTCACTATAACTTAGTGATCTTGCACTCAACTGCAAGTGAATAACATTGTTTCTTAAAGGCAAAATATGAAACTGAATAAATGTTTGATTTGATAAAGTAATATTCGAACATTGTTCATTATTCAAATAGTTCCAACTTTTCCGTATAGCTATATTGTAGCATATTTCTATAACTTCTCCTATCAAGTCAATGTTTATATTACTTAACTGAATCACTCCATGATATGTTAAACCAGGCAAAAAAATATCGTTTTTGATGAATTTCAGGCTATAGGGTTTTAACAAAATCAGACTTTTAGCTGTCGTTAATTCAATTTTGTCTGTTTCGTCTTCTGTTACTGTAGCTGTAATTAAAATACGAATTCTGGGATCGATTAACGGAAACTTCTTCTTAATGTTTTCAAGAGATAAATCTTCTTGAAGGAATCTAAATTCGGTGCAGCCATCAGTCATCTGTTTAGTAATTTTATCATTATTATTAAGAGTGAAAAAGTCTTAATTAACAAAGACATGTAAGCATACATACTTTTTTCAGAACTTGAATGGTTTTTATGTTGTAGAAAGCATCACTTAGTCTTATAAATGCTGTTCCTTTCACTGGTGCTCCGAAAGAATATTTCGCGCACACTGTTATGTTTACATACAGAGCTTTATAGTAGATCGTTCTTGGATGTAAAATGTACACCTTGAAACGTGGTAAAGTGTACTTAGTTACCTCGAAAGTTTTTGTTTGTCCACTTGATTCAAATTTCCATATACCCTAAAAAATGCATTTTAGTAAGCAACAATGAATGAAAACTCTTGACATTTTTAGAGGAATTTTGATAACAAATTATCATGTTGATGATAACTTTAAAACATCTGCAAGATTTCAAGTTTCAGGTAAAAATTCAACATGGATTCATAAACTACACGTATAGGGTAAGTATATACTTACCGTTCTGGAATTTTGCGGTAATTTATATTCTATGTGTGCTAGCCCCAAGTCCGAACTTATATTTTGCCAAGTCATTACCCCTATACCCGCAGGATTACGTAGACGAACATAAGGGATTTTCGAATTTAAAGTGGGAAGCATATTATTTTCAAGAGACAATATCCTCAATTTCACCGTATCTTCCGATTTATAAATAAACCTGTCTGTTTCGATAAAAGTTAACATTTTTTTGGAAACAATTAAAACTGGATCTTGGTTATGGGCAAAATATACCACACCATTTGCGTGTACTTGTACCTTCACCCCGACGGTATCGGGGTCATTTTTACCATGAACTGGTACTTGTACTTCGAAACAAGAATGTTCTAGAAACAAGAACTTGAATTATAGTAGATAACTAATTTATAAAAATTACCTGGTTGTACAATTTTCGTTGTTATAAAGTGAGAATTCTTAAATTTTAAGTCCACGACAACTGTAATTGGCTCTGAGGGTAAATGGTGTGCAGAAAAACATACAGTTTCATTTTGTCCTGACGTGAGGGTTTTTGGCATGCTGTAAATGAATCCAGGCACAGTTTTTTTCACATTTTCACTAGCACTGCAATATTTTCTAATATAAATAACAAAAGTAACTTTAATTTAAATGCGCATACAATGTGGTTTCAAATTTGGCAGAATGTAATACCAACAATAAAATATAGGAGTATTTAGAAAGCATATTTGTTGCACTATGATGAATTTCAAATTCAAACTGCTACTTTCTTTGTATTACATTATTAATGCATTTTCCATTTTATCTCAATATAAAATATATGGTGTTTGACCCTTGACATCAAATCGTTCATGTTTCAATGCTGAGAACAATAAGACTGTAGTAAACTTATTTAACCTTCGGATAAGGATATGTTTGTTAATCGTGAATAACATTAAGGCCATCTCTGCACTGCATTTTTAAGTCACAGATGACAAGATAACAAAATTTACATAAATCAATTAAAATCATTCAATCGGGACGTAAAAAATATTTCGTCAATATGTTATTTTAGTATCTTTATTTAAAACTACATTATCAAGCGGTTTTAATAAACCATCTCGAACTTAAAAATGTCACATTTTTCAAATTGTCTTGATGTGTCCAGTATTTTAATATACGCAAATCTCTCTCCAGAGATAAATTCTTCTTGCTTTTAACACTGCTTTGTTTAGGCGCTATTACTGATACAGCAACATATGTTTTTGGATTATTATCAAGAATATTAGACTTTCCAGTTACTTTTTGATAGACAAATGTTTTAGAATAAATACTGTATCCGTTAGCCTAAAACGTACAAATAAATTCGTAATTAGTTGTATTTTCACATAGTTAAATTTTACCCAGTTGTGGAAAGGGGCCCATTGACCAGTTGTATTCATCTGACTGAAATTTTGACTTTTGGTATTAGTAGCATGTTTTCTAATTAAAAAACGTGCTTTTTCTTTGTACTCTTGTCGGAGGTCCAATATTCTTTGAGGCAACATATTGCTGTTGAGATTTCCTGAAACTTAAAATAACGTAATAAGCGTATACAAAATTATATAAAACAGACAAATGAAAACAAAAACCCGCATTTTCGTATTTGTAAATATTACAGTAACAGCACTTCGAAAATTTTATTCTACAATTTTTAATTAAAATATGTGCCACAAACCTAATAGTTTTTCGATTTTGTTCCAATAATTGGGGTAAGTAGCAATTTTTATCATCAACTCCAAAAGAAGTTCACCAGCGGCTGCGCTGAATTTTTGGTCCTGCAAAAACAAGTCAGTGATTAATAGGTAGGTATCGGTAATAGTGTTTAACAATACTAGCATGGTAATAGTTAAGTATTTACTTGGCTTTGGCGTGATAATATAATTTTTTGTACTGCTTTTATTTAAATTATTTTTTTTAAGAAATACTAATTTTAGTAATATCTCTGGTAATATTACCAGTCCAATGTTCGTATTTAGGTTGGCATTAGCCTCGTCACTAATAAGTGTCAAATGTCAAACGTTTACTATTAAAAAAGATGAGCGAAGCCTCAAATGTAGTTAATAAAAGGGAGGAAGCCTTTATTTAACGAAAATTGATCTTAACGACGCCAACCCGTGTAAATTTAATTCATTGTTTGTAAATTCACAGTCCATGTTAGGATTTTAATCGTTAACTGGTTCTAACACATCATTTACGGCAGTTAAATTAACAAAATTCATAATCTCGTGAACTGGCAGAGGGTTAAAATAATTTCTTCCCTTAGTTATGATCGTCATCATCATTACATCACCGAGGCATTTCCTGGCAACATTAAAAATTACATTACCGAGGCATTTCCTCGCAACGCTAAATATTATATCACCGAGACGCTTATTTCTCGCAACGCTGACTGGATATTTTTGTGTTTATTTATCATGTGTTTTGTTTGGGGTAAACAGTTCACGATATAAATTCTCAAAACAAATTGTTATAAGTAATCAATCACTTGAATCAATGCAGCATTTAACGCAATGTAAATTCTTTGTTTGAATCGTTGATAAAGTGTGGCAAATATTATCTCATGTAAATTTGTTAGCTTTGCAATTTTCACCTCATACAATTTTTCTCTATCTCACAATTTAAATTGAACGTAAACTCTTTTTTTGTTTTTTTATCTTTGCTAGTTTTTGTTTTATAAATATTTTGTTGATGGATGTTTCTTTGCATCGTATAAATTATCTGATGTCCAATTTTAATCTCACATAAGAGTTATTTGTTGTCTAAAATTTCACAAGATTGTATGGCGAATTTAAATGTTTATTGCTCATTTTAAAACTTTGACACTTGTTCAGTTGTAGTTTAATATCAGAGTTATAAAAATTGAACATTTAAATGGAATTGAGGTTAAATAACACCGAAACACATGGTGGAAGTGGAGTGTGCGGTTCCTAGTCGAGCTGGCGGGATTTATCGCGCCACCTGCACAAAAGATTCAGGTTAGAATAGAATTCAGGCTTGTCCTTAATAGATAATTGTTTTGCGGAGGCTTGCGATAAATACAATCACCGTCGTGGGGGAGAACAGCCACGACCGGGGGCCCCAAACTCCGCTCGTGCTACAACGCCCCAATGAGTATTTTTATTGTTCTCTAGAATGAAATTGACATAGTCGATCTACATTGAAGTACCTTTAGAAGAGAAAGAAAATGAAAATCATAAAAAAGAGCGGTCTATAGCCAAAGAAAATAATAATAAAATGCATGAAAAGCATGAAAAATAATAAAAATGCTAAAGAGAAGATCAACAATTGATCAGATATTTATTCTGCAAAACGACAGCTATGCTCAAGAGCTGGAATTAAAAGATAAATATTTATCGATTGTAAGCAAGCATACGATTCAATAACACGGATTCATAAACCACAAGTATAGAACTATATACTTTTTAAAACTGAAATAAAATTTACGACTGAAAAATTGGAATTATTTGTTTTGTTGTAAACTATTTTATACCTATGTATATAAATTACTAGCTTCGATACTGTATGTTTTCTCTTCATGTGTCAGATTAAAATGTTTGCTAAGTGTAAAAACTCACCTTATGCAATGAATCTTTCGTTTCTGTTAAAACCACTGAAATAAAAATTCAAAAGTTAATTAAATCAATTCTCTGTTCGTAAATATTAAATAGGTATGTAAGTTGTTGTAACTGTGTATGTAATTAAATCACATTGTTTTATGAATGTTAATCAGACGTATACTATGCCAAAAAACGCCGCATCATCATGTCAAAAATGCTATTGCTGTTATTGGATCAGATTTATATTTTCTGTTACACCTCATTTTTGTAATAAACTTGCTGTGATATAAAATAAACCCAAAGCGAAACCAAGAACAGCGACCATATTTTTAACACGATGACACGAGTTTTTTGGTATAGTGTACCTGTAAGTTTATTTCACTTAAATTTCGGAGTCGCATAAATGCATATACTGTAAATTTAGTTGGTTATTTTTTGTAGAAGATTCATATTTTTTAACGAATTATATTATGAAATTATCAAAGTTAGGCACAGCTGAAGTGATGGGCAATCTCCCAGACAAATATTAAAAGCGACGGCGCTACGTAAGGCGATAAATTTGGCTGGCCGACTGTGCAGTCTCAACCACGTCACAACCTCAGTGGCGTTTGACGCAAATCAGGGTTTATCTAATCAAGATCATCACGAAAATTGTGATACTGACTAGTCATTGTTAATTCTTCTGAACTTCCCTCGTTTCTGAAGTACAAGTCCAACAAATCCAGCTTCTTTGAAAAATTATAAAATTAGATTTTGCGATGTTTGTTTTGTGATAACCGCCATAAATAAAAAGGCATAAATAACAACCCCGCAGTCTCTGCGCCGTGCGCGCGCAAATTGCAAGGTAAATAAAGATTACCAACGGGAAAAAATAGCATCTCAGCAGTAATAACAAGCTTTAATTTTAAGTGCTTGTATACATCGGAAGAATATCACATAGAAATTTGTTGGATTTGGACGGGTTTGTCGTCTCAAAGCAGGAACTATGTAGAATTATTTCTAATTAAGGCACAGTCGAACAGAATGTTCTGATATTATTATTATTACTATATCTCGTATTAAGTAAATTAATTGCACACAGTATAAATAGAATAGCGGAAGAAGTACGAAATCAATTTCCATTGGTAACTGAATTAATTAATACTATGAAAAAAGTTTCTGTTAAGGCTCCTTTAAGAGTACAACAAGTGTATAAAGATACACTACCAGATGTACCATTGCCTCCTAAACCTTTACACGATGAGGTACATGGATTGACGCAGTTTTATTTTATTTCAAATGTTCCTGTGAGATGATAATTAGAAGAACAAAAAGTACCCCTGAATGAATCCGTACAGCTAATAGAAAATAAAAAAATATATATCAATAAAGCACAAGGTCCTATTGCTCAAACAATCTCAAAAAAAACCAGGCGCTACATTTTTTAACTTTCTGTTGTCGATTTTTCAGTTTCTCGATTTTTATTTCTTCAGTTTTTTCAGGTTTCAATGTTATCATTTTTAGATTTGACAGTTTCTCGTTTTTTAGATTTTTCCATTTTAAGATATTTTTATTTTTTCATTTTTCAATTGTTTTTTTTTATTTACTGATTGTTGATTTTTTCGTTATCCGATTTTTTTCGGTATTTCATTTTTTTTATTGTTCAATATTCAATTTTTTTTCAATTTTTCAGTTTTCGATTTTTTAATTTTACAGTTTTTCGATGTTTATTTTGACATTCTTCAACTTTTGAATTTAAGAATTTGTCGATTTTTCTATTTCTAGAAAATTTTGTTTTCCGTATTTTTCTATTTCTCGATTTTTAATTAATCAGTTTTTCGATTTTACTGTTTCTTTTTTCAATTTTCCCAATTTTCACTTATTTTTTCAATTATCGAAGTTTTCAGTTTCTCAAGTTTTAAGATTACAATTTTGAAATTTCTCGGTGTTTCAAGTTTCGTTTTTTCTATTTTTGATTTTCAATTTTGCAATTGTTCGATTCTTCCGTTTTTTAAATTTTCAGTGTTTTCATTTTTAAGGTTACAATTTTTCCTTTTGAAATTGTTGACCTCTTAATTATTCGATTTTGAGTTTCTTTATTTTTGCAGTTCTTCGATTTCTCAATTTTTAAATTGTTCGGTTTTTCAATGTTTCTTTTTCGATTTTTCAGTTTTTACATTTTTCGATTTTTTAGTTTTTCGATTTTCATTATGATTTTTATTTTTTAGTAAAATTTTTGTTATGTTTCGACTTTTTAATTTGCAGATATTTTAATTTTGCGATTTTCCAAGTTGCTTTCTAATTTTTCGATTTTCCATCATTTTACAATTTTTTGTTTTTTCGATTTCTAAATTTTTAAGGTTTCAGTGTTACAAATTTTCGATTTTACGTTTTTATTTTTTTTTTAAATTTACAATTTTGTAATTGTTTAATTTTTAAATTTCCCGATTTTTACTTTTTTCAAATAATTATTATTAGGATTTTTTTCAAATGTACAATTCTTGGCTTTTCAATTAACCGATTTTTCAGTTTCTGTATTTTTTCAAATCTTCGATTTCTCGGTTTTTCAGTGTTTTGTCTTTTCGATGTAACAATTTTTCAATTTTTCCATGTTTCTTTTTTACAATTGCTTGGTTTTTTAGTTTTTCGGTTTTCATTTTAAAATTTTTGGATTTTGAAGTTACTTTTTTTTGTATTTTTGATTGTTTAATTTATAGAATTTTTAGTTTTTCACTTTCTCGAGGGTTTTTAGGTTTCAATATTACAATTTTTCGATTTTTCAATTATCCAATTCAATTTCTTAATTGTTTCATTTTTCGATTTTTGAATTTTTCGATATTTCAAGTTTCATTTTAAAATCTTTGGATTTTGAAATTAAAAATTTTTGTATTTTTGATTATTTAATTTATACAAATTTTTGTTTTTCCTTTTCTCAATTTTTCAATTTCTCGATTTTTAATTAGACAGGGTTTTCAGATTTCTATATTACAATTTCTCGATTTTTCAGTTGTTTTGTCAATTATGCACTTTTTAGTTTCTCATTTTTTCGGTTTTTTCAATTTTTCTTTATCTTATCAATTCTTCGACTTCTCAATTTTTAAAATTTTTTGATTTTTCAATTTGATAATTTTTACACGTTTCATCAATGTTACAATTTTCCGATTTTTAAATTTTTAAATTTTTCAAAATTTCGGTTTGAATAAATTTGTCTTTTTGTTGAAGAATTAAAAAATGAAACATCGAGAAAATAAAGAATTAAAAATTGAGAATTTGAATTTTTTTGTTGATTTTTTCAGTTTCTCGATTGGTAATTATTTTGTTTTTTGGTGTTTCAGTGTTACAATTTTTCGGTTTTTCAAAAGTTCAGTTTGAATAATTTGCCCTTTCGTTGAACAATAAAAAAATGAAAAATCGATAATTTGAAAAATATTATATCGAAAAATTGCAGAATTGTTGCGTTTTGTCGATTTTTCAATTTCTCGATTTTTAATTATTGCATTTTTTAATATTTCGGTGCTACAGTTATTCCATTTTGCAAAATTTTATTTTAATTAAAATTGGAAATCAAGAACTTGAAAACTTTAAAACTGAAAAATTCAAAAATTGTTTGGTTTTTCGATTTTTAATGTTTCAATTTCGGGATTTTTTATTTTTTCATTTTTCCAATTTTTCAATTACCGATTTTGCAGTTGTATTTTTAATTTTTCAATGTTTTTATAATTTTTCAATTTTTCGGTGTCCCGATTTTTTAGTTTCTCAATTTTCATTTTGAAATTTTTGGATTTTTCATTTTAAAATCTTTGTATTCTTCATTGTTTCAAGGATACAATTTTCCAATATTTTAGTTTTGATAAATTAGTTCTTTTGCTGAAAAATAAAAAAACACGAAATTGAAAAATTAAAAAAGTTTAAAACTCAAAAAATTGTAAAATCGGAGAACAATAAGATCTGTCGATACAAAATATAGTTTTTCAGTGTATAAATATATTTTAAGTGATCGAAGACATTCATTTAAAATGGAAAATCTAGAAAAACATTATAATAAATGTAAATATGTAATAAAATTTTTCAAGAGAGTAACTAGTTACTCAATAAAATAGCTAGTTAATAGAGTACCTAACAGAATATACCGACATAGTTAGTTTTAATTTGTAAATGTGTAGTTTAAGTCCAAATATGTATTATCTAAGTTGTAAGTGTTGCAAGAAATAAAATATTAATGTGTAAAAAAAGTAATTTTTCTTGCATATTTTAGCAATTTTTTGCATATAATGCCAAATTTCTCTGCATATAATTCCGACCTTTAGTTATTAAGATCCACTTATCTTCAAAGGCTGTTAAGATTTATCACTAATATGTATTGTGCAGTCACATATTTTAGGTAGGTACATTCTGAATATTGATAAAAATATTATATTGTCACATTTTCATAATTTCACTTTTTTTTGTCGTTGATTATAATGAAAATATCGAAACAATTACAACACTGTAAGACATTTCTACTAGGTATGCTAAAAAAACAGATACCACCGTATTTTGTGAAAGAGTTGATTGTTATTTCCGGAAAACTTGACAGTCTAATTATTCTTTGGATCAAAAAAAGCGTAAATTTTCAAATCATTTAATTTGAAGTGCAACAAGTTAATGCCAACCTAAATGATCCGTAACGTTTATGTTACTATGTTGTCATGCTAAAAACTACTACTAAATAAACAATTTTCCACTTTTAAACTTATAATATTTTTTATCTACATACATTAAGTTCTACTTTAACCAAAAATGTACACCAGCAATTAAAAACGAAAAACAATGTTTCTTTTGACTCTTCGGGGAATAATGTATAAAATGTGTGATATCAAATTATTTTAAAGAGATAATTTTTGTTTTATTTGTACTGGATCTATGTAGTTTTAAATTTTTTTGAAATTATTATTGCTTTTTTTTTAATAGATGCAACAGTTAGTTCACCATAAGTCAAAATCATATTAAAAACGAATTTTGAAATAGTTTTTACTTTAAAATTGTACTTGTCAGATATGACACATGTTTGATGTTATTGTATGTCTTAATAATTTCGTTTAAAACAAAGGACGTTATCATTTTCAGCAAAACCGGAGGGCTAGAACTGAATTTATAATGTTCCCAAAATTTTAAAACTGGTTTCTACAATCTTTTGTGATAAAACACCTGTATATTTAAGAATAGTATACTCATGCTCAGAAAATGTATGAGTAAAAAGACATTGGTCTGACAACATTGTGGAGTGAAATGTTAATTTACCTGAAACTAAAACGATGAAAATGATGTAAAATATGAGTAATCCAAACTTGAAACGCATATTCTTTATTAAAAAGGAGACATGTAGTTTTCTTTGACATAATTCTTGAATTTCAATAATATAAAAGCTTTTTCATTGTTAACTTTTAAATCACATCACTGATAATCACCACAATAAGGTGTGAATTCGCCGTAGACAGCTGGACCCTCGAACCTGCGCACATTCCATACGTTTTCAGGATCGAACCATTTCAGCTTATTAGAAAAAGTAAAACTGACTGAATTCAAGACGTTTTTAAATAAAACACAATATGTATCTCATGTTAATTAATCTTTTTAACTAAAAATTAACAAAATTATTACGTTATTTTTCTTACAGTAAATAATAAGAAATATTGCTTGATAGGTATTGATTGAACTTGTAATATGGTCTATAAAGCCTGTTTTAGAGAATATGTCAACCGAATGACAGGGCGGTCCGCAATTTTTTGGAAACAACTGTATGGACAAAGTTTCTATAAGTGATTATAGGGTCAAAGTAGGAAACGTGCCGCCTATCACTTTACATGAACTTGACTAAATGCCACGAGCATCTATATGACTGGTCGCCTAAACTCTTCATATCTTATTAAAAATAAAACTAATTCATTATAATAAAAACAAACAAATTTATTGCGGTTAAACATCACAGTAAATGTTGAAAATGTTCAGCATTTTGTTCATTTCTTTTTAATTTCAAAAATGTTCGTCAATGCTTTGGATCCATCGTTCAAGTTCATGTTGCAACAGGAACTCCTGACTGCTGAGACAATCTTGTCAAAGAGTCGTCTCAAATCAGCAACTTCCTCAGATACTGAATAGATTCCAAGAGATTTCCCTTTAACGATGTTTCTTGAATTTGCAAATCAGGGAATTTGGCCAGAAATTCTTGCCTACAGGCGGTTACAGAATACATCCAGAAAAGCTGAAAGAGTCATGTTTTTTACATATATGGCACCAGTCGAAAGCGCGGCATCAGGCACTTTTTCAAACTAACTTTATTAAAAGGTTATTGTTTACACAAAATGAACCATATTCGAGGCCACGGTGCATCACTGTAATTAGTGTTAAGACAGTTAACTATCAATTGTCTAATCTGAAATAGTGTGAAATTTTAACTATAGCATCAACACTTGTTATTTTTATTTTATGGTTTGTAAATTCACAGTTCATGTTAATTATTCCTTCTTCTAATACAAGTGAACAACAGTATTGTACATTTTCATGTAAAACACGTATTTTATTCAGGCTCAATTAATTTTTTTATCTTTATCTTCTCAAATGAATTTTTTTCCAGTGTAGAGCTGGCCCGTCAAAGCTCTACTCTACAATTGAAATTACAAAAACTTTGATCAACCCCCAAAAAAATCGCTGCTTACCCAAAATTAAAGACTCCTTCTTTTCATCTTTCACTGAAGAAAGACGTCTCCTTAACGACCTATATAATCACATCACACAAGTAATGGAAATTAGGAATAAAGAATACATTTATATGCAATAAAAATTAAAAAATATGCAGTAGTATATGCAATGTGTGTTAGCCACAGCTATATCCAAAATAAAAATTATTTCATCGGAAGCAATAACAATAAAAAAGGGTACAAATGTTTCTGCAGAAAAAGACACAGAAATAAAACTGTTTTACAAATATTATGTGCAAAAATTACATTTCTACAGTGTCTTTTTCTAAATTTTTCGGACTAAATGCTGACATATTTCATGCAGTATTTTTCAAAAATGTTACAAATTTCACCTAGAAAATTTTATTTTTGATAAACTGTGTTAAAACATATACGTTCATAAAAAACAATCAAATCAATGTGTCTAAAAGATATCTTATTTTTGACAAGTAAAATACAATAAAAGAACTGAATTTAGTTTTTATAAAAAAAAAATACTAAAATTGAATATAACGATACAATAAGTCTCTCTTTTGATGTAATATGATTAATATAGAAATGGTCGCGAAGAGCCAAGGAGGTAGAATGACAAGATGGAGCATGCCTCATTGTACTAATGTTAAAAATTTGCCGGCAAAAAGAGCTATTTACCCTTTCCGTACTGCACTCATAGATAGTAAAACTGCTTTTATATTCTACCTTACGAAATTATTGTTGTATGTTATGCCCAGTACCCGGCATTCCACCTCCATGCAAAGGACATTTCAGAAAAAAATTCCGAGAAGACTTCAAAATGCGACTGCGTAAGAGATACATATTATAAACTTTCATGTCTTCAATATTATATTCGAAACGAAATTAACAAGCTGAACGTACATCTATATATTATGATTAAAATTACAGAAATCTTAAAAAAAGATCTTAACCTATGGCATGGTGGATGTACTATATTCTAATCTGGCTCTTTTTCTTATAGGTTCCTCATTTTCATGCAGAAGGTCCCTTTTCTTCGCGTTCTGTAACAAAGTAAGTTATATTATAACTTTACACTTTAAAAAAACAAAAAAAATTGGTCTAAAGAGTTTAGACAGTACTTCCCTCGCTGTCGGAAACTTGACGATTGCATGCCTATTGTGTTTTTTTCTCATTACATTTTTGTAGTGGGAATTTAAAAAAATTGCGATGACGTCATCAACATTTTTGCAAGGACACGTATATCAGTTGGGATAGATGTAGTGTAATACTAAGAATAAAATTATTGTATTCCCAAATTTTCGGGAAAATGAATTGGGTCGTTTTGAATATTGATTTTTTATAATCAATAAAATAACGAAACAATTTACTCACGTATACGGCAACTGAAAATCGTTTATGTATAAACATTCTTAATTTAAGATGACAAGCGTAACAGCATACGTGAGAGTCAAACAGAGAAACTGTAAACAAAACGACCGTCGGTTTTATTGCTTCGACTTCCGCTTATTATATAAAACATTGGGTTTTATTTTAATTCTTGACGGTGAAATTCACAATTGGTTGATTATAAACATGTCTATTTCACATTCGCGGAACCAAGTGAGCGCATAAATCAAATGCAGGTCTGTAATGTTAAAGTCGATGTAAATAAGCGTGCTACCCTTATGTTTCAACCGAGTTTTTCCTTTAACAAATTTTGTGTCTACCAAATTGGGTTGGTTGGGGTGTAATACTAATAATAAGTGTTGCCTTTAATTTAATCAATAAAATAAATTGACTTCATTAATTTTTTTGAACCACCTCTTAAGAAAATCTAAAAAATATGAATGGAATGATAAATCACAAGTACAAACTCATCATATTTTTTGCATTTTAGATAGGATTTATTCAGCAAAATTTAAGGGTGACGTCATCAATTTTTTTAGGAGGGATGAACAAATACATTTTGAACAAAAGTTTACCATGCTTATAATAACTTTAAAATATTCCCAAGATTTCAAAGCATTCGGTTTTGTAATTCCTGATTAAATCGATAAAATAAATTCACGCCTTCATTAATTTTTTTGAGTCACCCTGCATATGCAAATCCAAAAATATGAATGGAATGATAAATCACAAGTACAGACTCATCATATTTTGTACATTTTAGATACGATTTATTCGGCAAACTTTTGAGCTGACGTCATCAGTTTTTTGTAGAAGATAACCAAATATATTTTGATTAAAAATTTATTATGCTCTTTATAACCTTAAAACATATGCAAGATTTCAAAGCATTCGGTTTTGTAGTTCCTGATTAAATCAATAAAATAAATTTACGCATTCATTAATTTTTTTGAGTCACCCTGTATATGCAAATCGAAAAAATTTGAATGGAATGATAAATCACAAGAAGAAACTCACCATATTTTGTACATTTTAGATAGGATTTATTCAGCAAAATTTTGTGGTGACGTCATAAATTTTTTAGGGGGGACGACCAAATACGTTTTGATCAAAAATTTACTATGCTTATGATAATTTTAAAATATCTTCAAGATTTCGAAGCATTCGGTTTTGTAGTTCCTGAGTAAATCAGTAAAATAAATTTACGCTTTCATTTATTTTCTTGAATCACCCTGTATATGCAAATCCAAAAAATATGAATGGAGTGATAGATCACAAGTACAGACTGATCATATTTTGTACATTTTAGATATGATTTATTCGGCAAATTTTCGAGCTGACGTCCTCAAGTTTTTGGAGGGAATAAGCAAATATTTTTTGACTAAACATTTATTATGCTCTTTATAACCTTAAAACATCTGCAAGATGTCAGAGCATTCCGTTTTGTAGTTCCTGATTAAATCAATAAAATATATTTACGCATTCATTAATTTTTTTGAGTCACTCTGTATATGCAAATCCAAAAAATATGAATGGAGTGATAAATGACAAGTACAGACTCATCATATTTTGTACATTTTAGATATGATTTATTCCACAAACTTTTGAGCTGACGTCATCAAGTTTTTGGAGGGGATAAGCAAATATTTTTTGACTAAAGATTTATGATGCTCTTTATAGCCTTAAAACATCTGCAACATTTCAAAGCATTCTGGTTAGCAGATTAAAAATTAAATTTCAAAATGTTGTTTTATAATTTTGATTTTTTTTCCAAAAATCTGGACGTTTCGGGTAAAAACTGAATTCGGAGTCGTAAACTACATGTGTAGGACTATGTTATTTTATACAATTGAAAACCCATTTACTATGTACAATTTTGAAGTGACGTCATCGCATTAGTGGTGGGGATGATTAGACAAATTTTGGTTAGCGTTTTACCATCTACATGATATTCTTAATATAGACTGCAAACTATAAACAACATTAAAAACGATTTGGATAAAAAATTAGTTTTTCCTAGAGAAATCAGAAAAAAAAGTTTAATCATGAAGAGAGATTTTGTGAAAAATGATGACTTAGGAAACATTTCAGATAAAGATATACAAAGCACCGTAGAATCAGCTTTACGGGATTGTCTGCGTGACATTGAAGATTTAGGAATGAAAGTGATAGATTTCAACTATGTATTTTTGCCTCCGTGTAAAGACAATGAATGCAATGACGAAGTTGAAGATGAAATGTTTAGTGAAGAACAGTGCGATCACATTGAAAATTACAACAATTCTCAAATAGCCATGAAACGTAACTGTTTTCAAAGTTTGGAAAACGATCCAGTTGGCCAAGATGAAGATTTACTGAATGATCTTTGCACAATTTCGTACGAATTTAAGAAATTTGACAGAGACGTACACCTTAGAAGTTTAGATAGTGACGATAATTGTGTTGAGAAAGGTGATCTAATCAGAATGCGCTTAGATAATACAACAAAAGTTATAAAAAAGTCTTCACTTTGCTGGCTGTTAGACAATGAAAAGGATCGCGTCAGTGTGGATCGTCTCGAAAGATTTATTCAAAATAAGAAATGTAATAGTAGTAGAGTTAACTCAGAAACAGATACCTGCCTTCAACATAAAGATGCATCTCAAATTCAAAAACCAGTCCAAATTGGAAAACAAAAAAGACGCTATAATATATCAAGTGACTCATCTGATTTAGACAACCCAAGTAGTATCGAATATGATGAATTGATGACAGCACGGACACCGAAAGTTTGAATTCTTCCAATTATTCTGATGATTTGAATCCTCGTTTGAATCTCAAGGCTGATCGTTTTAAACCAGACTTAAATATAGGCGATGATATTATAGTACAATTAACAACTCAAAAACAAAACAAAAAATGTTACATTGGTAAAGTGTTATCACTTAACCCTATTTTTTGTGATTTTTTGAAAAGGAATCCAAAAATTCCGGATGCTTTTATGTTTCCGGACATTAAAGATCAGGGGGAGATCCAAGAAAATAAATATATAATGAAACTACCTCCACCTCAGGTACTCAGAAGAGGCAGTTCAGTTAAAATAAATTATTGAAAAAATATTTTATTTAATTCTAGTTTTTTTTAAGTGATGTGATTAAAATTTGTGATAATGTAACCTCAACCTGGGTCGAGATTTGTACAAGTTGTGCAAAATTCTAGGTGCCCATAAACACTTTTAAAGGGGAAAATTACCTCTGAAAATTTATCAAGTCGGGTTATCCACTCCTTTATTGTGCAAAAAAAATTCTTACGTGTTAAATTTTGCATTTCAAAAGTTTTTTTTCTAATATGCTTCATTTGAAAGTTGTGAACAAAAAATTAAAAGTGTTATCATCTGTATTTATGGGTAGCTAGAATTTAGCACAGTTTTTTACTTCGACATCATTTACAGTATATACATAAATCTCGACTCAGGTTATGGGGTAAGTATTTTTTAAGAAGTTGTTTTATTTTGTGATATTTTGTTATGATTCAACAGAAATGCTTTACTTTTATGTTTAGAGTTACCGTTTTTTTTTTTAACATTTAATAAAATAAATGAAACTACTTGTTTTTTCTGTTTATGCTACCATAATAAATGAATAAAGCCAATTTTTAAAAAGTAATGACTTAAGTTATTATTATAAGTTTGATTTAGTACGTCAAACTTTAACATGATCTTATATGCACAACACAGAGATGAACCTAATAGAATGATTTTGGACTATTTGGTATTCATTAATTACCTCTGTGAACGTATGAGACAATCGTTGTTGCCTTATGAGTCACTGATAAGTAAAAACTGCTGACGTAACTAAAAATATCCTTGGCCTTCTGTACTTTTAATTTCGTAAAGTCAAAAGCAAAATTTCAAAATATAATTTATTAAAAAATTAATAATAATATATAATTTATTAAATCTTTGAGTGATTTAAACGAACTAATTTGTACACACCAGACATTTTTAATTTCAAAATTAAAATAGACCATAAGATTTTCTGACTGAATGTCCAAAAAATCTAGAATATTGCATATGTCCACTTTTAGAACAAACATTTGAACCAAGAAAGTGTAAAATTCGAATGTATACTTACTCTACTGATTTAGACATCTAAAACCTCGATTTCAGAGTAGCGTTCTTTTTGTAAGTAAAATCAGATTTTTTTTCTTAAACATTTCAGTTTGTTGCTTAGCAGCACAATACATTTTATTTATTTATTTTTTTCGTCTAAAGGGAAAGCACTTCAGCTTACCTAGTCACCGTACGTTAGTAAACACTTGGTAAAAAATTGGTCTAAAGAGTTTAGACAGTACTTCCCTCGCTGTCGGAAACTTGACGACTGCATGGCTATTGTGTTTTTTTCTCATTACATTTTTGTAGTGGGAATTTAAAAAAAATTGCGATGACGTCATCAACATTTTTGCAAGGACACGTATATCAACTGGGATAGATGTAGTGTAATAACTAAGAATAAAATTATTGTATTCCCAAATTTTCGGGAAAATGAATTGGGTCGTTTTGAATATTGATTTTTTATAATCAATAATATAACGAAACAATTTACTCACGTATACGGCAACTGAAAATCGTTTATGTATAAACATTCTTAATTTAAGATGACAAGCGTAACAGCAT